CCCCAAAACCCCAAAACCCCAAAACCCCAAAACCCCATAACTTTGAATAATGGTTGAAATCAGCTTATTAATCTTTCTTTCCAATTCTTTCCTTGTAGAGCACATTTATTGATTTGTTCAGCATCGCACTCAAGATATGAAATACAGTGAAGACTCCTCCGATAATGGTTCAGATTCCGATGATAAATTGGAGGAACGTATCTGCTGTTTGCATATAATCTACTGTAATTCCATTGATGAAGTATTTGAAATATATAACTTCGTTACCAATGTTTTCAGACCCTACAGTATATGTATATTGATAGACAACAGAGTGTCTGAGCCCAAGATTGTCTCTGTATCGAGTAGGGACAAGATTTAATTGATAATTTGTGCTTGTTCCTAACTCCTCTGATACTACTTTATGGCCGTTAAGAGGGGTAAGTTCTCCAACTTTATCCTGAAATTTTGACTCAATAGATTTAATTACTCTCTTCCTTCCAAAACTAAGATGATTAATAGTATGAGTGAGATTAATCTGCTGCCCAAGCATGCCTAGAAGTTGCATATAAGCATGAGATCCGATATGGAAATTCCCAGGAACTCTGTTGACACTAATATATCCTTTTAAAGAACACCCTTCGCCTGTTTCAAAAGCGACTTGAGCTCTTTTGAATTCCTCCAGAATTGTTTTCTCGCTAAAGCCCATTGCTCCCTGTACAATATCTGAGAGCTCTTTAGGAGTAAGTCCATTTTCATCTTTCTTCACGTTCTTCCTGATCTTTCTGAGAGAGTCTCCTACATCTACCATGTGGGAGCCCATCTCATCTTGAATGTCTAGGGAAATGACATCGCAAGGGGTGGCCGGGAAATCAATATCTATGTTAATGAACATTTTCTCATGTGGATCCATTTGCTCAATCTTTAGTACACTAATGATGTTGTCATCGAAGAAAGCCTGGATTTCGAACATGCATAAGGATACTATTATCATTAAGGAAATAACCGAAAGAATAGCACCGCTATATGTCTTTTCAATGAAATTTATATCAATAAAGAAGCCGTCCCGATTCTTGTTCATCTTTATTTTGTTTCTGGAATTTCTATTATTATTAGAGCGTGGGGTTTTGGGGTTTTGGGGTTTTGGGGAG